ATATATATATATATAAACAGGATAATTAAAGAACATACACATATTCTTTAATTATCGTGTTTTTAAAATTAAATTAGTTTTTTAACTTGTTATTATTGAGGTTTTTTTATATTTTGGTATTGTATCTACGTATTGAACACTCTAGATTATAAAATATGATTTTATTATAGATACACCAATTATTATTTCTATGACTAAACCGCAACATCTTTTGTCAATAATGTAATAATGTTGTAACATTAATAATTTTGTAATTACGTTGACTAAAAATATTGATTTGCAAGAAGGTTCGACCTTGGGTGATATTATTATAAAAACGTTTGTTCCTTTCAGGCGCGAAGCTGCAGGAGATGTGGATGGCGACTTCCTTTTGAGGCAAGTGTATGATGATCAGCTATCATTTGATCTAGTCGGAGCGGCAGTTAAGATCCTCAGTAAGTATTTTGTCAATTTACGACATCATTCTAAATTACGTATAATCAAAGATTACCTAGCATATATAAAAGAAAGTAATGCAACAGCATTAAAACCGGCCATTGAATATTCAATTGTACACAGGTGGAAATCGGTATAACGTTTTTGTTGCTGTGTGTACTGCGCTGCTTTTGAGCAAGTGATTTAAATACGAAGCGCAATCGCATTTGTCGGCGACAGACGTACGCGTGCGTCAGGTTTAACGGAACAAAGTTTAAATTAAGCACCAGCCACGTGCGATGTTTCAAAAGAATTAAACTACAACTAACTCGCGTGATTTAGTATCACATAACCAGACAGACAAGGGTCTAAGCCTACATCCTCAATGGGTATCGATGATGAAAGGATCTTAGAACACAAACTCAGATCAGTCTCTTACAGACATAATGACAATATTTTCGTTTCCAGTCAAAAGCGTTTCGCCCTACGGCTATTTTGCTTACCCAATGAAAATAACACATGAAACCGTTTGCGGAGGAGATAGAGAAGATAGACGTGTTTATGTACTATTTTATTGTTAATCAATTTCTCAATCAAATTCTCAGTTTGCACTTTTAAAGGTTCGCGTGTCATACTAAACAACGCATTTAAAAATATATTATATTTAGATTGATTAGATGTCATTCCAAATAACAAATCATTTTCTTAAGAATGTTTGCTATGTTGTCTTCTCCCGAAGGGTATACATATGCAAGGATGTTTAATCTATTATTATCATTGTTAATATCATTCTGACAGACGTGACCGGTAGCGCCCTCTACAATCATAAGCTAGCTGCCTACTGTTTTCCTTTATAATAACCAATTCGTGGTTTGAACTGCGCATGTGTATGTTTGTTAATGTTGATTGACCTCGATACGAGCTATGTGCAGTTGAAACTACGAATTGGATTATTTTTGACCAACCTCCTATCTTCAAGATCGAAAAGTCAATTATCACATCTAAATAATTATTATAACTATATAGAATGGAATGTAAGTTTATATGTGCGTAATACAACATGAACTGGAATTACTATAACTTAGACGAGTCGGTTTGATACATTAACTGTAATATCGCATGTTTATAATTTGTTATGTAAAAAAAAACGTATTTATTCAAGGCCTTCCTTGCAGAATGCTAAAAGCTTACGAGATCTTATCTAATTGTGATCACTTCCTTCCAATAAAGGGGTCACTTACCGAAAAGATTTGATCGTTCACAAGCGTATATATGAAAACCGGCGTGCGCGGATGTGAATACGGCCTTACGCGTGTTTCGTGTCCCGATGACATAAGGGTAATTGTGTGTGTGATTGTAAGAATTAGTAATGTAATTGTCCTGTTTGTACAGGCAGATTATAGCCTGAAAATACCATTACAGTCGATGCCCAGGTTTTGACAGGTGCACTAAAATGATACAAATAATGCCATCATTATCACACAAGTAGGAATGCGCGGCCTGTTGAGATTATCTAACTCCAGATAATTCAAATCATATTATTAATAATATCAATACTAACACCAATACGCACACACACACCGCTGGCCGCGCCGAGGAATTCATCTCAGCTCTCTGTGAGCAACTGGCGACTCGACGCCGTCTGCTGATTCTCGATTTCAGTCTAAACGAACAGTCGCATATTGGCATACTATTGTGTGGTATGACTTGGAAAAAAAATCGTATCATATTTTTGGGTATGGCCGGGCTCGGGCCTTATAATTTGAGCTAATCTAGCCCATGAGATGGTCTACATATTTTGCATTATGATCTGATATAGGCTTAATAATTTTGCAATTCTTTAATTTTTGTTTTTCAAGTTAGGTACAGTACGGTACGGTACCTTGTTAGTTCTGAACTGTTTAATTATAAATGTATCGAGTCTAGTTTAACTTAACTTCTGGAGGTGAAACCTACAATTTGTAGTTTAATATTTAGGTGTACCATACTTTTTTTTTTAAATTTGTCTTTATTGAATTGACATTCTAAAACAAATGATTATAATACAGTGAGATGTTGCAACCCCATGCCTTAAATTGAGTAAATTTCACATACACCTTTTTTTTTTTATAAGAACCAGTAAAATTTTGCCCAGGCTCAGTGTTCTTATTTTTTGGCTAATTTCAGGCTCAAAATGTTTTTATTTTGTTCTTATTTTACACACTTTTCAAACATGGAAAATTATTATTGTACATCAGTCTACACTGGGAGGTTAAAGCGGCCCTGCAAAAAATGGCCCATGAATGAAAGGCCCAGCAAAAAATGGCCCCACAAAAAATAGCCCGGTTAAAAAATGGCCCAAAATGGGAGGAAGGTACACCTACTGTTCTGTATTATAGAGGGTATTACATAGTCACACCTACTGCACATAAGGTACAGATATAATTGTTTGGTTTTTCTAGTTTGACATTCTACCTCAGCCTCAATTTGTTCTTATTTTGTTCTTAATTTTTAAGCAATTCCAGCCTCAGTGTTCTTATAAAATGTGTTCTTATTAAAAAAAGGGTGTATTATTCCTGCGACAGCTTCGTTTCTTTGGTAGTGTATGCCGTGAACAAACATTTAAACATCGTGACATTTTCATCGTTTGACGTTGTGATATAGCGCGTAGGCTTACTTGGTTAACATTAGAAAGCTTTAAACACAAACAAACGACAAGGTTCGTCAGGTTGCGCCAGCCAAATTTTATGGACAGCATTCGTTTGCCTTTACGTTTTCTACGTCATATTACGCAGAGTGTTCTACACTTTACGTTCATGTTTTTTGGGCTTGCGTCAAAACGCGTCTAATTGATCTACTGAAGTGTGAGCCACTTAAGGTTTACAAGATAAATGCACGGATATGGCATAATTTTTAAAATTTATATTAATTTCAAAACATTATGCATACTTGTAAAATCTATAAACCATTGTAATTTCTGTGTAAATGTACATAATGTCAGTTTGGTTCTCTTGTTATTGCAGAGGTTGACGTCAACGACCTCCTTGAAGCTTTTGGATGGATGTTCTTCAGGTTCTGTCAGGAATCGGGCTACGAGAAAATTCTCATGGTGCTTGGATCCAACACTACAGACTTCTTGCAGAATCTTGACGCTCTGCACGATCACTTGGCTTCCATCTATCCCGGAATGAGAGCGCCTTCGTTTCGATGTAGCCATCGCGAGAGTGACGGAGCGCTGGTTCTCCACTACTATTCAGAGCGGCCTGGCCTTGAGAGCATTGTGATCGGCTTAGTGAAAGCCATATCTGATAAATTGCACAAAGCCGATGTAGACGTGGAGATAATCAAAAGAAAAGGTGAAGATTGCGATCACGTGCAGTTGGCAATTATTGAACACCATCCGTCTGAAGAAGGTAGTAGGCCCAAAGACTCCAGAGCAGTGGGACTCATGCCAAAAGAGTCACTGATATCGACAGAGGTTTTCTGTCACATTTTCCCTTTCCACATAATCTTCGACAAGGACTTTGTGATTCTTCAAGCTGGTAACTCTATGCTTCGCCTCTTCCCATTTCTGACCTCTCAAAAGTGCCGATTAACTGACATTTTTGATGTAATTCGTCCGCATGTGAACTTTACATATCTAGATTTCTTGGGACATTTTAACTCCATGTATGTGTTGTGTACGAAGCCTCATCTCCATGGCAACGACGCGACGGTAAATGGAGATTCCAAGAGCATTAAATTCAAAGGACAGATGATGGAGATCTCCAAGTCAGGTGATATTTTATTTCTCTGCTCACCCAGTGTTGTAAATTTAGAAGAGCTTCGACGAAAGTCGCTTTACTTGAGCGACATCCCTGTCCATGATGCAACGCGGGAACTGGTGCTGATGTCAGAAAAATTCGAGGAAGAATACAAATTGACCAGAACGCTTGAGATAATGACTGACAAACTTCAACAAACATATAGAGATTTAGAAGTTGAAAAGAGGAAGACAGACAGGTGTGTTGATACAGTTATCTCATTGGGGGTTTCCGTTAGCGTTTACTTTTGAGAAACATTGAAAAGGATTCTCAGTCAAACTGAACTTATGTCAGATTCTAGATGTTGTCGTAAGGGTCAATGTTGGTGATCATGCAGACGGACATTATTGTACTAAGACATGATACAAAAAATGTTTGAGAATTTTAAATGCAAAACACGACCGTCATTTCATGAAACGTGAAAATTATAAATAATACATTGTTTTACTTAGTGAAAACTACATGACATTAATTATTACACAGTACACACTCGCATACTGTAGCAAGAAAATTAATTTTATAACTCCATCATGACATTAATAGACCTTTCCGGAGTGTCAATCAAACTTAACAACTGACTAATCAGAACAACGCTAGGAATACGCGCGCGTCTCACAAACACACGTGTTGTCCCACAAACGCACATGTTTGCGTATGTTTTAATATTGTCGTCTTGTGGGACCTTAGCAACAATATCCAATGGGCGGGGCTTAGCGGAAAGGTCCATTATTACAAAGTATATATTTAACTGACTATAAATCTAATTTTCATATCCTTAATGATAATAATTTTTTCAATCTGTTATTGAAAGATTTAATGTACTTTTTCAAAACTGATTGTCACTTGTGTGTGCATTTTATGTAGCGATACAAATTATTTTATCAAAATTAATGTTATGGCCGGAGTGCGCCCTTACTTATCACAACAATTGTATTCTACCGGCTAAATATCAAGAAGATATTAAGAAAAATTTTCAATTTACAATAACCGTTATAGTTTTCAAATAGCAAATTTGATTCGCATAATGGAGATATCAAAGTACTGTAGTCGGCGAAGAAGACAAATTACAAATAGAATACATATCGCGAAGGATTCTTTTGACGTATCTTTTACCCGCTCAATCTTTACTTTGTCAGACGATACGGTCAGTATAAATCGCCTTACCAACTTGACGGCCATATAAACGGCCATTGAAAGTTAAAATGATATGCCTAAATCCAAATACCAACACGTTAGGCCTAGCAGGCGGCTAAATAATTACGAAACTTAAGCCATTCCATATCGGCAGTATGATTTTAATGGACATTGTCCGTAGTGGTAGCGTATTGGATTTAAACATTCGGTCTTAAATAACTGCGCGCCAGCCAAAAACGCCTCTAGAAAACAAGATATTGAAAATCAAGTCTCGTTATCATCGATTGGTGAATAACTAAACGAAAATCTATTTAAATGTAATCTGTTTTGCTGTCGTCTGCCCGGTTAATTTTATTCCAAATAAATATGAAAAACGTCACTTGCAATTTTGTGTAATTAACTCTACACTATGGTTTATCATTATTTAAATATCTGTCTTGTCGGTTTAAATGTTTAAAATAAAAGTGTGTCGATGTCGATCTATGCTCCACGGGATGGTTTGAGCATACACTAGTACTGCCCCCTCCCCATACTTAATAAAGCAAACTGAATTTTCCCCAAGTTCGAATCCTAGTAGCGCGATTTTTTTTCTCATTATTTTCAGTTGTAATTAAACGAACCACTTATTCCTTATTAGTCTATTTTTAGTCATCTATGTTACGTGATTACGTCATGAAAACCATAGCAACATCTTAAAGCAATATTGTCAGAATTAATTTACATAGATTAATTTGCATAAATTAATTTGCATCGATATAATTCATAACTATAATAATTTCCCGAATAATGAATCAGTATCTCATCGTGATAAAATTAATTGCTTTTTAATATAAAAAAAAACATGAATTTATAACTGGATTATTACCACTGGTTGTGTTAAAATTATTGTATGTATATGCTTTTAATCTTCAACACCCTGAGGGAGTAAACCATTTCGAAGATTGGAAAGAAATAATGAATAATGTTGAGCGAGCAATGATTCAATGATGAAACATGAAAATAAGTGGTTAATAATAGGGAGGATAATACAAAATTGTTGTATGTATTGTTATTGTTATATGTATTCATATTCGACCACTGTTATTAGGCCTTTTATTTATCTATTTGTTTAATTGTAATATAAAAACATATTTTTTTACAGACTTGTGTATTCCATCCTGCCACCATCTGTTGCTAACGAGCTCCGGCACCGTAGGCCCGTACCTGCGCGCAAGTACGAATGGGTGACGCTCATGTTTAGCGGTATCTCCGGGTTCAGTGACTTTTGCCGCCAGTACTCGCACTACCCCCTGACCATCGTCCGCACTCTGAACGACATCTACACGTCGTTTGACACGATCCTGGGACGCTATGCTAATATCTTCAAGGCAAGTAAATGAGTTTTATAAGCCCATACCGGTATATAGTCATGCTATGCCTATATTTATGATGTGATGTCACCATGATCATTATTAACACATTGCATGTCACATGTTTTGTCAAATAAAATACGATAGTCTCGACTTGGCTTAATTAATGTTAATTAATTAATGTTTTTGTCAAATAAAATGTGATAGTGTGAACAAGACTTAATGCATGTGTTCGTGCATTCGGAGCTAACGACTCACAAAATGTCAGATATACTTACGTCATATTACCAAAATAACTGTTTAATTACCTATTAGGCTAAGCTACAGTTTTGCCACCACTATTATATCCACAATAGCACTTATTCGTATTGCCATAATCATCATTAACTTCTATAACATGTATATAGCCTACTATCATTATGGTACTTTCGTAATTAAACAAAATTGTTATTACGATTTTCAATGGCATATTTTGCGTTTTAGGTCGAAACTGTCGGCGACAAATATATGGCCGTTAGCGGCCTACCAGAGCCATGTTCTGAGCATGCGCGATGTATCGCTAACCTCGCTTTGGATGTGATGGAAAGCTCGAAGTCCGTGAAAGTGGACGGCAAAAATATTACGGTAGGCACTATGTTGATGTTCATGGGCGGATTTACAGGGCCGGGCCGCCCACTCCCTTTTAGAAAGAGGATATATTTTTCGAGAGTCTAGAACATTGAAATTTCACGGGGCATGCCACCCGACCCGACCCCTTAGGGTACTGTTATCTCGATAGGCTCCACTTTTGGTCCCCCTTCCGACCTCCCCTTTTAAACATCTGGATCCGCCCCTGATATTAATATTTTGTGTTCCAGTTATGTGTTTCAGTGACTGTGGAGATCGTGGTGACCACGACGACGATAATGATAGTGGTGATATAGATAATGATGATGATGATGATGATGATGATGATGATGATGATGATGATGATGATGATGATGATGATGATGATAGTTGTGATAGCGATGGTGACAGTGACGGAGGTGGCAGCGGATTTGGAGGTAGGCATGATTTGGAGGTAGCCATGCCAAACGATGGACACGATTAAGACGAATATTAAGGATAACGAGTTCCGAGGATGATGATGATGATGATGATGATGATAATGATGATGATGATGATGATGATGGTGTTTAGGATGGTTGGTGAGGATGACAGGAACCCGTCCAGCAAATGAATACCACGTGGCATCCTCAGAACAGGCACGACACGCTTAATAAAAAGTACACGAAATAATTATGCTCGCAAACATTATGCATTGCTATAAAAATGTGTAATAATAATAATAAATAATTCGTAATATAAATTATCGTTTATCCGTTATATAGAATTGCATTAAAATGGTGCATTATAAACTACAGATTTTCTTTTTATCATAAAATTCTGTTGCCAATTACTAATAGGCCTATTGTATTACCATAGTGTGTCGTCTTCATTTTGATTAATTTGTGTACGATATGCCTTTTTTTTCCCTTTTTTTTGTACCCTATCTTCTGGCAATTGACCTTGTAAGAGTAATTCCGGTGGAGGAATGATGTGATTCCATGCTTAAATAAGACTTGTCTCAGAAAGAACTAAATATTCAACAATCTGTTACTTGTACAATTATTCAAGTGAATCACCAACACAGAAGGCTGCTAGATATGGCCTGCCCTAGAAAGTTCACTAAAAAGTAAACAGCCTGTTACTCGTGCAGTTATCCAGGTGAATTGCCAACACAGAAAGTGTGGATGAGTTAAAAGTAGCCTAACAAACAATATGAAGCAGAAAGACACAAGCTCCCGCTGGGGGCCTATTTTTTTAACGGACGCAGATGAGTTGACAAACGTATACGGAGCCATCTGTCTGTACATTTCATGTTACCTTGTTGAAAATACCTCAATAATATTTTCCAAACATAATTTAATTACTAAAAGTGTTAAATTCAATCGAGATATGAGGCGTCGTTGCATAATTCATGAGGGAATTCCACTTCAATTATATCGTGTCTATATCTAGTTACCGGTATATGTGTAGTGATCAGTTTTTGGCGATGTTGACGCATTGGTAATAATGGCTGGTTGACTGCTTGGTTGATGACTAATTGATTGACTGATTGGATTGATTGATTAATTGATTGATTGATTGCTGATAAATGTATTTGTTGACTGAACGATGGCATGAGTTTCAAATTACAATATAACTTTTAGAAGAAGTAAAACACCACAACATTTAAATTGAAGAAAGAACAATAACGGAGTAGAGGGGGGTAAATGGAGGAGAGGCATGGATTGATAAAGGGAGGGAAGATAAATGGATGGATGCTCCTATACAAATATTCCCTGTATACTTGAAGCTATTTTTGTAAATAATTTCAAATAAGTAATACATTGTAGTACAGTTACACAATCTGCTATCAGTCCACATAATGTATCCTATGTCAAAAACTTCCTTTGTGTATGTATAGCGCATCGAAATGGAATTTACAAGTCTTGCACGTAATTTGACGGCAAACATGTTTGTTTTGCCAAAGTATTGAACATAGCGAAACACTAAAACACTTGATTAGCGTAGACATACCTCAAGACAGCCATTATTTGTATAGCTTATGCTGGGTTATTAGTTAAATCGTATTGTACAAGTTTGATATGTAATTCCATCTCGACTGCATGATACAATCAGTGTTAACGAAAACACGGCGTGCACTTTCATACCGCGTCTCGGAATTGATTTCGCCACATCATTAAATCCGAAATCAAAATAGTGCCTAGGTGTTATTTCTACGGTGGTTGGTAGCCCGTATATGGAAAAAAAAATGTTTCGTGCTGGTTCTGAAATGTCGGCCATGTTTTACATTTTACATCAACCGCCCCCTTCCCCATTCTCCATTAGAACATTCATGTCGCTTTTCGACGACATTAAGCTAGTTTTGTCTGCTGTCGTGAAATACTGCATATATCACGTTTAATTGATAATTTCTGAAGACATTTCGGTGCTTTCCAAACGATGTGCCGGACGGTATGTTCCTTTATCAAACCATGAATTCTCGTTAGTGATTCACTTTATGATCGATCTCCTCCAAATACATGTGTGATATCGATATTAACTCTCATTTCAATGGTTTAACACGATTAGGAAAACGACTTCTGGAAGTACGAGTAGTCACATACAATGTACCTTTTTACTATCAGATATAATTGAACTTTGCCCTTGATGTGGAACTCGTTTAATTAGAGTAGGCCTATATTAAAGCGGGCGTTTACATCGTTGCGCGTATATTTTAAGGATCAATGCACGCGTCTAAATATACATTTGGATACGCGCTTGAATCACAGTCAATACCAAGTTAGGAACTTCAGTATGTTTGAATTTTCAATATGGATAGATGAACGTTTGGTTAATTGTGATACGAACGCATGTAGTTGCTACTTTATTTTGATTACTTTGACAACCTCTAACAATTCCAAACGTGTAAAACGAATATTAACATGATTAATTACGAGGGTAGGCCTACTAATGAAAATCCATATTGCTAATTGCAATGTAATTATATTTTAATGTGAATTGGTATAATTAGGAAATATGATAGTAATGAATGTTAAACTTTATTAATGGCAAATTAATTAATCACGTCCTGAAGTTTAGTGAACACATTTTATTGTTCCGAGTTAGTAACATGTATTATGAATACAATTAATGACAATCTAAGTGAGGGCAGCAGTGAGAATGAAATATTCGAAGTTAAGATGCTGTAGACAAGTAGTTTTGCACAGATGAAAGTCCTTGGTTTACGGGCATGTTCCCGGATCAACAGTATCGCAATACAATTATACTTGACAAATATTACTGTTGTTAATACTATTATTGTTTCCATTATTGTTTATTTGTGCGTGTCCTATTCATAAATATATAGGCCTAGCAAATTGCCCCTTTTTAAACATCATCTCCTTTCACAATTTATTGATTCAGTGTACTATCAGCGCCCATTATCCGCTAACAAAACATACATTACAATGCAATACATTATTTACAGTTGTTTACAACTATATACAGGAGAGGTATGGTTTGTCTCTCTTATACGGTGAGTTAATATTGGCCTACATATTGCGTACCCGTTGCTTTATAAGATAAAGCGGTGGCTGTGGAAGGGTCAATAACAAGAGCCGGTACGTCTGTGTATTGGTCATAACATAACTTTCTCAATATTCACAGCATGATTTACAGTATCTCACATTCCACTATGAATTTTGTAGACGAATTTCCTTAATAATACCGTACCGTACGCATAATAGCTTTGTCTATCTTCAATTAAGTGCGTAAAAGTTGGTAAGCTCTTTGTGCGCAGGCCGTTGCATTAGCTTTTATATAGATATGTTAGCGCCTTATCCAGGCAACGCTAATACATTTCGAAGTAGAAAGCTGATACGAGAACTAAAGAGTACATGGCTAACATGATGCTGAATGTCACACGAATCTAACGC